GTTATTCGGTAAACAGTGATGAGGTTGTTACAGTCTCCCATCCTTAAAAAGAGTTTAGTCTCTAAACTCGAGTTACCTTTGTTTTGAAAGAAACAAGATTCAGTGGAAACAGTTCAGGATATTTTTAGCCATGTCATCTTCCTTTCCCAAGTGGCATACACGCCACCATGGTTCTGCCAGTCAACTTTCACTAACGGATCTCTTTGTTTCTTAACTTCTTGATCCATCTGTTTACAATTGAGATAGGCCGTTCCTCATATGTGTAGTTGTCACTCACACTACACGAGTCGGCTCTATTACATGGAAAGGATACCGGAGTAGTCCCTCACATAGAAATGTGGAAGACGTTACGCATATGCTCCATTTCAGGAGGAAGCGCAACTTATACGCCACCGGATTGATTTTCTCAATAATCTCATATGGTCTGACGTATCTCGGTGCTAACTGCCTTAACTCCAAAACGAGTCTCCTTTCACGGTGTCACTTTCACAAACACGTGATCACCATTCATATTTCTATCCCGTCTTCTAACATCAGCATAGTTTCTGTCTACTCTGTGCGGTCTTCAGTCTCTGTTGTATCGTTTCACTTTCTCAGTCGTTTCGTGTACAATCTCGGGCCAAGCAAAGGCCTATCTACAACTTCTGCCCAGCAAATTGGAGATCTGCATTTCTGCCATATAGTGCCTCGAAAGCGCCATGCCAATACTCGAATGATAGCCATTGTTGTAGGCGAATTCAGCTAAGGCAAATGGCTTTCCCAGTTTCCTTGAAAATCAAGGACCACATTCTCAGTAAATCCCTCCAGCGTCTGGATGGTCTCTTCTGACTGGCCATCTGTCTGAGAATGATAGGCATTACTCAGTCTTAATTCAATACCCAATGCAGCGTAAGCTTTGCCAAAATCTCGACGTAAACTTCGAATCCCTGTCAGAACAATGACACAGGCACTCCAGTCAGTCTAACAATTTCATCTATATAGATATAGCCAATTTGCCCCATTATAAATTGTCTTAACAAGTAAGAAGTGAACAGATTTAGTCAGTCTATCAACAATAACCCAAATTGAGTCCAACCTTTACTTAGAGCGAGGTAAGTCCACATAAAATCCATGTAATAGTTCCAATTCCACTCCGGTATCGGTTAAGGGCTGCAATAACCCTGCGGGTCGTTAATGTTCGGCTTTGACTTGTTGGCAATGAAGACATTTTGATACAAATCGGAATTTCCTTCTTCATTCCGGCCACCAGGAAATTCAGTTCAATCTTGATACATTTTCGTATTCCCTAGATGGATAGAAAATTTGAATTGTGGCCCTCTTGCAGAACTCTTCTTTTCAATTTGGAATCATTTGGTACAACATAGTCTTTCTTGAAATTCAGTACATTACTTTCAAATTTGAAACCCGGTCTTGGTTGGATTCTCTTTCTTCGATGATCTTCTTCAAGAAGTCATCCAGTTGCTGTTTCTCTTTAATTCTTCAATCAGTGCCTGTAGCAGAAATAACACTATTGTTTCCACCTGTTCCTATAAAATAATTTCAATTTCATATTTTTTCAAGGTCACAAAGCAACTCTTTCTGCCCGGTAAGCAAACAGGCTAAATTTCCAGTCGATTTCCGACTCAGTGCATCGGCAACGGTTGGGCTTTTCCGGATGGTACAAAATCTGTAGATCATAGTCTTTAATCAGTTCTAGCCATCTCCGCTTGTCTCATGTTCATTCTTTCTGGTGAAGAAATATTTCAGACTCTTGTGGCCGTATATACTTCACATGTCGCCCCATACAGATAGTGACGCCAGATTTTCAATGCAAATACTACTGCAGCAATTCCAGTCATGGGTCGGGTAGTTCTCATGCGGTCTCAGTTGTCAAGAAGCATAGCATTACTCTCCCATCTGCATTAAGACACACCCCAAACCTATGAGAAGCATCACTAAATATGGTAAAACCATCTGTACCTGAAGGTAGGTAAGAATCGGTGCAGTTACAAGTCGAGTTTTCAACTCTTGGAAAGCAGATTCCCTTTGGTCAGTCCAGTCAAACGATATCCCCTTCTGAGTTAACTGAGTCAACGGTAAGGCAATTTGGAGAAGTCTTTGACAAATCTTCTGTAATATCCGGCTAGTCCCAAAAAAAGCTTCGGACTTCTGTCACATTTGTTGGTCTAGGCCAGTTCACTACAGCTTCAATTTTCTGCGGATCAACAGAAATTCCATCTTTGCTAACAACATGCCCCAAAAACATAACATGATCAAGCCAAAATTCGCATTTAGACAGTTTAGCATAAAGTTTCTGTTCTCTTAGGGTCTGTAGGGCAAGTCTCAGATGATGTTCATGTTCTTCTATACTTTTGGAGTAAATCAGTATGTCATCAATGAATACTACAATAAAGTCATCAAGGTATGGTTTAAAGATTCTGTTCATGAGGTCCATAAATGCAGCAGGTGCATTGGTAACTCCGAAAGGCATAACTAAAAATTCGTAATGTCCATACCTCGTTCGAAAAGTAGTTTTATCAATGTCTTCTGGTTTAACTTTCAACTGATGGTATCCGGATCTGAGATCGATCGTAGAAAACACTTGAGCATCCTGTAACTGATCAAATAAGTCATCATTACGTGGCAATGGGTATTTATTTTTCACAGTTACCTTGTTCAGTTCATGGTAGTCAATGCACAGTCTTAGTGAGCCGTCTTTCTTCTTCACAAATAAAACAGGTGCGCCCCAAGGCGAAGTGCTAGGCCTGATGAACTTCTTATCTAATAGTTCCTGCAATTGCACTTTCAATTCCTTTAGCTTAAACGAGAAAATTTTGAATTGTGGCCCCAAGTATATGAGATGTGCTTATAAAAACAGCTTAAACGAGTAGTTGAATTTTGAGGGGCCTAATGACTTAAATGGCCCTCATATACTTCAAATATTACCAAAAAACCAATATATAAATCTATAACCAAACACTATTCACTTTTTCACATAGAGAAATAGAAGGGAGGGCAATTTATGATGACACATCACGATCTCTCTCTCTCTCTCGAACTGCCCCTCGAATATATATATGCCTCATTCTAGAACCAAACCCTAACCTCACTCTCTCTCTTTACAATCTGAACTGTAGCCCCTTCCTCTATCTCACTTGCACTGCGATCGCCGTCTGTTGCCATTGCGCTTCCTTCAACTCCAGAATACAACACAGACCTAGATCTCCCCTTCTCACTGCTCTCGCTGACTGTTGTTTCTACTTGCGTCTCAAGACATAGCCCCGCCGTTGCGGACCATCGCCGTTGCGTCGTAGCAACCCATTGTTGCTTTGTTGTCATCGCCGTCGTGTTGCCATTGTTGAGCTTCTCTCTCTCTCGATCTGAAACCACATCACGATCTAAAAATGGTGATGATGATGATGACGATCGATGGTTTTTGGTGGTGGTGGAGGAGATGGATGAGCTGAAAAAAGGCTTCTTGCAGACCACTGGCAGCAGCTCCATAGATCTAGGGTTTTACAAAATTGTAATGAAATAAAAGAAAAAAAAAAGAGAAAAAAAACAATTTATTTCAATTAAGTTCCATTTAATTTTAAAAAAATTATTGCAATTAATATTGAAATAAATTGTGCAATTTTACAATTTAAATAAAGAAATAAATTATTGATACAAATTGCAAAATTGCATAATTTAAATGAAGAAATAAATTGCACAATTTTATTTCAATTAAAAAAATACAATTTACTTCCACTAATTAAAAGAAATAAAATTTTTATATTATTAATTGTATTAAAAAAATATAAATATATGGATATTAATTGATATTAATTGTAATGAATTAATAAATTAAACAAAATTAACAAAAAGAAAGAAGAGAAGGACAAAAAAGAAAGGAAAGAAGTGAAAAGAAAACAAGGAGAAAAAGAAAAAAGAACGAAGAAAAAAAAAGTATTGATGCTAATTAAATTATTAATTGACACTAATTAATTTATAATGAAAAAATGAAATAATTTTATACTAATTGATACTATTAATGAAAATAATAATTTCTGTAATACTAATTATATTAACTTTTATTATTGAAATAACTTTTTTAAAATTAAAATTGAAAAAATATTAAAATAATTATTTTTATATCATATAAGGACAAGAAGGACAATTATACAGTAAAAAGTTATTTTATAATTTATCAACTAAATACTATTCTGCTGCTTAAATCCATAATTCCACAGATTCATCAAACATGTTAACAACCTATGTTTATACTTATAAGTTATAATCTGTTAAATTATAATTTTTAATCATTTTTTTACAACTCTACGAAATATGACTAAAATCCTGCATGAGTAAGAGATGCGAAATATTTAGGGGTGGTTTGGGATAATTTAAATAAATGTATTTTTTAATTTTTTGTGAAATATGAGTTAAGTTTGAAATGATGTAATAAAGAAGTGATGCGATTTAAATAGAATAATGACTTTTTAACTTTGTTAAAATACCCCAAACAAGACTTTCGTCAAATATTTGATAGAATATTTGGTATTTTAACATTATTTTTTTTGATGATTGGACGGAAACGAGCCCAGCAGAACATGGACCAGAAAAAGGAATTAACCGTACAGACGCGAGCAAAGGTTCTCTCCTTCGTACTTGCAGGTTTTTGGGTCTATTTTTAGGCCCAATTTTAATAATTCGAACCGTTCATATTTTATGATTTATTTAGTATATCATACTTGTAAAAAATTAAGTTGATCGGATATCAGAAAGCATATGTTTGGAAAACTGTTTATTAAATTCTTTAAAAATAGTTTTTAGTTCAATTTTTTGAACACATACTTTTTGATATCCGATCAACTTAATTTTTTACAGGTATGATATACTGAATAAATTATAAAATATGAATAGTTCGGATTATCAAAATTGGGCCTAAAAGTAGACCCAAAAGCCTGCAAGAACGGACACAAGTAAGAGGTACAAGGAGAGAATCTCATTCGTACAGACGCATTTCCGTCATTTCCACAGCCGTCGGTCCTAGATCCACCCACGCCACACGAGTCTGAAAACAGTGCCTTAAAACCCTAATTAAAATTGAATATTACACGTAGAATCTGAATCTTTTGAAAAACTGGTCAGAATCAACGGCCCCGATCAAATCCACAACCCCTATATACATGTTCATGCGATTCAGCAGACTGCGTGTTCATTTTGTCTGCGGAGACTCTTTCCAAAGCTCACCCAGGGAGACAGAGAGAGACACACACAGATTTGTAGAGAGAGAAAGAGAATTTTAGATAGAGAGAGGCGCCATGTGTGGAATACTAGCAGTTTTTGGCTGCGTGGACAACTCTCAGGCCAAACGGTCCCGAATCATCGAACTCTCCCGGAGGTAGATTGATGATGTGTTTGATTTCCAAATTGCTTTCTTTATTTTGTTTGCTAAAGCATTGAATGAAAGTCCGTCAAATTGAACCAATGACGACGTGCATGTGTTTGCATTTTGGTTTATTCTGTACTAATTATGGTTACCACGAATTGATTGCAATGAAACTTGATCATGATTGTATTTACGAGTCATTTCCCAATTTTCCTAGCAAACAATGACATATCAGATCGACTACGGTCAGGTCCGGTTAAGAAAGATTGTATCCAGTTGATCCATTGGTGTGGCTGGGAAAAATGAGAGCAAGTCATTTGCTGTGACGAACCAATTTGTGAGAAAATTTTCATTTTTTTTTGGCAAGGAAGCAATTAAATGTTGCTGGGTAGTGGTGATTGATGGTTTGGGAGAAAAATAGTGGGCAAATTCATCACATTTTGGTATGCATGTGGCCAATTAAGTAGGTAATGTGATATAATATTTTAAGCTAATAGTTTACAAATAGAAATTAAAAGTTTTCACGAGAAATTGAAGAATGTGAAAATAAATTGTTGATCATGACTTTCCGTCCACGATTATATGGTAGAATTGAATGCATTTTGGTGCTTCTTTGTTTGAAGTTGTTGCACGACAAATTTGCCAAACTTTAGTATGTGATTTTTTTGATAACAAATTTACCATATTGTGCTACTGTTGAACTATCCGTGTAATTGCCAAATTCATGGCCATTTTTTGACTAGTATAATGCCTTCAGTTTAAACGTACTAAAGGAAAAAATGTTTAAAATACACATTGAGCTCTATTCAAATGTTGCATTAGATAATGTGGATATTGAGATGCCAAGAGATGCTTTATCAGTGTTGTATAATGTGAGAGAAAAGAAAAAATGAATTCTGATTGAGATTTTGGATATTTGCAAAAGGTTAAAACCAGCAAGGATTGGGATTGTTGGGAAATGATTTTGCCACGTTGAACTAGTTGCCAAAGGATTGTGTCAATAAATTTGATCACACAAACACTGTTTATTATCTTTCCAAATTTATATGTTTAATTCTATTGTGTGTACCGTGTAATGTTCTAGTTTTGAACTCTGTCGCATTTTGCATACAGGGAATCTGTGTGATCTCATTTTTGTTTACAATTTTTCATATTCTTTCTTAATAATATCCTATTTGCTGAAATAAATTGAACTAGTGTAGTGAATAGTAAGGTTAAAAGGTCATCCAATCTAATAAGCAGCAAAGTGCATCTTGGTGATGGATTTAGTTAAACCACATCTGATGAATGTGAAACTTTCAAATATCCATGACGTGACTGATTGACGTTTGAGTAAGAGATTCACTAAAACACTGGCTCAGCTTCTTGCTGTCTAGTTTATGGCTATTAGACAGTCAAAAATTGATATGATGACTGAGATTTATCATCATATCCCAAGAAAAGAGAAAGAAAAAGAAATGCAATATGATCAGGAGACATGATGCATTATTGTTCTAATTGTCATGCTTTGTAATTTTTTTTTTTTTTTTTCTTTTGTGGCTTGAATTATGTACTTCAAGATGTGGTCTGAGAGTTCCCTTTCTCAGTTAACAATGTCAGTGATGGCAATATGTGAAAAGGTAAGTTATGATAAACTAATCGTGGCAAATGTTTCAGAGAAAACCAAAATCACATTGATAAGACTAGCCAATACGTAGAATGCAGTGCTTTGTAACGTTATTGAAATATGGCAATTGGAGTGATGGCATGATTTCTGCTGTGACTTGATGTGGATGTGCAACTTGCTTTGATGTTTTTATGACATTTCTTCTAAATATGGTGAAACTGTTCTTTCCAAGATATGTATGCTTCTGCGGTTCTTTTCAAAACAGATGTATACTTCATTATCTGCCAGTGTAAATTGCCTCCCAAAAAATTCTTTCATCTGCATGAACAGATTTATTATATTAGTGCCTTTATTTTAAATTTGTTTTGGATTCAGGTCCAAAACTATCACAAGAAGGTTGATTTCCAAACGTCCATAGATTATTTTCAATTTCCTGGGATTTTGTGACCCAATAAGGGTCCTAACTGTTTATCCATTTCAATGGCTGCAACTGTAGGTTGCGCCATAGAGGTCCTGATTGGAGTGGCTTGCACTGCCATCAGGATTGTTACCTTGCTCATCAACGATTAGCTATTATGGATCCTGCTTCTGGAGATCAGCCCCTTTATAATGAAGACAAGACGGTTGTTGTGACAGTAAGTCAATTTATTTTCTTTAAACATGTTCTCATTGCTGTTTTGCATTTGTGGAATTCATTCTTGATATGCATTTGTAACAGGATGATGTGCAATACCCCCCTTGTAATTTTGTGTTTGAAATACATTTATTTGGGTAACTTGGTTGGCCTTGTTGATTTTGGAAGACAGATGAAATTTAGCATCTGACTTGTACATGGGTGGAATTTTTGGAGTGCACACTGATGTCAGTTATGGGAATAGATATGTTTTCTTATGCCATAACTGCGTGTGCAAGGTCCTGTTCTCAAATGAACTCTACTTACCTACCAATTTTTGAAGGTTAGAAAATACTTGTCAGGTTAGAAATATTACTTTGACATGGGGAGATTTTGTTTTGTCACAGCAGACAGAATTTTATTTTCTATGGTTTTGTTTTATTGGTTTGTAGAGCTTTGACATGGATATATACCATGTATAATGGGAAAGATGAATTTTATTTAGCATCTGACTTGTACATGGGTGGAAATTTTTGGAGTGCACACTGATGTCAGTTATGGGAATAGATATGTTTTCTTATGCCATAACTGCGTGTGCAAGGTCCTGTTCTCAAATGAACTCTACTTACCTACCAATTTTTGAAGGTTAGAAAATACTTGTCAGGTTAGAAATATTACTTTGACATGGGGAGATTTTGTTTTGTCACAGCAGACAGAATTTTATTTTCTATGATTTTGTTTTATTGGTTTATAGAGCTTTGACATGGGGATACACCATGTATAATGGGAAAGATGAATTTGTTAATCTTATTTTGTGTTTGTATAATGGACTTAAGTTGGTCTGACTTGACTGGATTTGTTTGATAAAACTGAAAGTGAAACAGAAGTTTTTTAGCACTGAATTTCTGGTGTTGAAATATTTAATTACATAATTTTTATATTTGAAAATTATAAGATAAACATGTTAGTTGAGGATGAAAATGAAAACTAACTCTCATTAGGCGTATTCTACCTTCAATGATATGTATATGTTAAGTTTCTCTGCTTAAAATTGAGACCCATTTTAAGTCAAAGATTTAAGTAGCGGGTAATTATGCAACTGGGAACTTAGGAAGCACATTTGCAGGTGTGGGTATGGATGCGGGTACACTGATATGAAAAAATCTAAAAAGAATAATATATATTTTTATAATTTGTAATAGTGCATGATATATGACAATTAGAAATCAAATGTAAAAAAAAAAAAAAAAATTTGAAGTAACAATAAGAAAAACAGAGAACAATAGACAGGGAGTTGGAAAAACAGAGATGGAGATGGTTACTTCCGAGGGAGAGAGGGTTGTTGGAAAAAATAGAGAGGAAGAGGAAGAGTCGGAGAGAAGATAAAGCCAAAATGAAGCCTACGTACCTTTTAAAATTTTGATAATTGCAAAAATGTACTATATTTCTAAAGTTCTTAAAAATAGGCACAATATAATTGTTCAAGTATCCCTATTTAAAAAAAAAATAAAAATTTATGACCCAATGTACCCACAAAAGTACCCAAAACGTACCCAACCTAAGCCGTCTTAACATTAAAAATTGTCAGATACATATTTTGCTTACCTGGTATGCATGTAGCTGTAATGGTATGTTTACCCATACTAGGTAAGTACCTGGTACTCGTATAATAATATTTTTCAGAGTACCCATGCTTCATAGTTATGCATTAACGAACATACTTAATTGTGAAACCACTAAAGGAATTTAACTTTAAGTGCTTATTGTGTTATCCAATATGGCGTGAGTGACTTGATTTAACAACATATGATTGACTTTATGAGAAATTCAATATATGTTTTTTAAAAATGGTTTGTACCAAGTTGACTTGCCTAGTTAGAGCAAATGCTCAACCTAGATGAATTATCCGTAAAGTAAACATGAATCCAAACTATGAAAAAGTACTATTTAGCTCTTTTGAGTTTCTAGATCTTCCCAATGTTGTAATGATATAATGAATAATAATAGTTCTTAGGCTATAAAGATATTTATTTAATCCTTATCAATGTTAAAATAACCATTCAGTTTTGTTAAGGATTTAGTGTGTGGCGATTTCCGTAGACAAAATGTGCTCTAGTTGTCTAGCTTAGGTATATAAATCTAAGTGTCCAAGAGTTCAAGATTGAAACTATTCAAGGATAATGCAAAGCGTGCTCTAATCTAATCTCAGTTATCATTGAATGAGTATATTGCATTAGTTTAGAACACATTTGTGATTGTGTATTCAGATGACAGGTTGGACGGGCTGGAATTCTCCATCATGAAAAAGGAAAAATGTTTAGGGCACATTTTGACACCTAGTTTTTTGAGAGGTTTTGAGAGGAGCTTTTAATGAAAGAGAATGTCAAAACTCCTAAATCTGAATATCCTACGACCAGTCTTTTTACATATATATAATTTGGATCTAAAAAGGGAACGTAGGCCGTTACAGGTAGGGCTCTAACACCCTATTTTGGACAATTTCAGATTTTGTTCTTCATAGGAAAAGTTGACTTTTTACTTATTTAGAATATATGGAATTTCATTATTTTGATATTTCTATTGAATTCACATGGGGGTATTTCGTTATTTGCATGTAATGTCTAAAGTAAATGGAAAGATAAATGTAAAAGGGGAAAGTCAATTGTAAATAAGTCTTGAGTAGTGTGGGATGGGGAACAAATTTTGTTTGATTTATTGATATTTTTACAAACTATGTTGTAGAAAATTATTTACACTTTGTCTTTTTTTCTTTTGTCTTTTTTTTTTTGCCTTTGCAGGTTCAGCTTTCTTTAACTATCTGTTAATTTTTTCAATGGCTGTCAGTATATAATATATGTTTTGAAGATAGAAATCTTTGTTTTCATTTGCTTAGTTCGCTCTATAGCTCCATGAACTCAGCCTCATGCTTGATTTCTATTGCTTCAATTTTTAGGTTAATGGAGAGATATATAACCATAAGCAGTTGAGAGAAAAGTTGAAGTCTCATCAGTTCCGAACTGGAAGTGACTGTGAAGTGCTTGCTCACCTTGTAAGTGCTTGAACAGAAATTGAGATAGAATATTATTTGTTTCTTCTATATATGCTTATAAGACCATAGTGATGAATTATACTAAAAAAAAGAAGTAAAATAGTGGACATAATTTTGTAATAGAAAAAAAAAAAAAAACCACTTGATTCTTTCATTTCTTTCCCTATTTATTTTTCCCTTTGTTGATTAAAATGTTTTCTTTTCCTTTTGTTCTCCTTATTACTTTGACTTTTGCTGCTTGTCTTCACCGAATCACTAGTATGAAGAATATGGAGAAGAATTTGTGGATATGTTGGATGGAATGTTCTCCTTTGTTCTGCTTGACACCCGTGATAAAAGTTTCATCGCTTGTCGGGATGCTATTGGCATTACCCCACTTTACATGGGCTGGGGTCTTGATGGTATGCAAGTCTTATTTTATTTTTTGGTTTCATTTGGGATAACTATGTAAATTTTCTCTCCATATGCATAGTTTGCAATTGTATGTTGTGTTATCATTTCTATGTTAAATGTTCAAATTATCAAGTTGAGCTTGCCAGCTGATGATTAATTTACTCGAGTTATTTTAATGTCTTAAGGAGGTGGCGTGTTACATGTGTAAAGCATTACTTAGATTTGCACAAGTTGCAATCCTGACCTCCAGTGTGACGTTGATTGAATGACTTACTTTTAAAGTACAATTGATCTAAAAGTTGGCAGTTGCAACTTGCACTGTTGGTTACTACAACCACACACACTGATTTTGTGTCCTGAATCTGGCTTTGTTGATAGTCAGTTTTTCTTGTCTTTTAGGCAACACCAGTTTTTCATTTGCTTTCATGTTGTATATATATGTATATATCTATGAACATTCAAAAAGGAACTATGCTTTTATAAGTATTGAGCAAGAACTACTTTCTCTGCAGGTTCTGTTTGGTTTGCATCAGAAATGAAAGCTCTAAGTGATGATTGTGAAAGATTCATGTCTTTCCCTCCTGGTCACATATATTCTAGCAAAAGTGGTATGCATGTGTTAATAAATTTTGGATTGAATTATTTCCGTGTTTAAAATTGAGGATTGTCTGTGCTGTCTCAGGTGGTTAATTTAGTTCATTACGATTGCATATCCTGTACTAGCAATTCTTGATCTGTACAGGAATCTTAATAGTTCCTTAAACTTTATCTTTACCACCATTTTATACATTCTTTGTAGAAAGAAGTCTAAGACCTTTTTCTGAGAAATGTTGATCAATAGTATTAATTTAAAAATAGGGCCATAATCACAATAATTTCCCAGGTTTTGTATGTGGAAGCAATATCCTTACATAATTACCTAACTTCTCAGGAAAAAAAGAAACCTGGAAAATAGTAGTATTTTTAATTTTTTATGGTAAACCTGAGACACTTTTCATAACAGAGTTTTTCTGGATTTGAAGGTAATTAACATCATTAACTTATATCTTTTTGTACTGTCAACTTCTTATTTCCCTTCCCCTAGCTGTACCAAATAAATATTACTTCAAGTTCTGTTTGCACTACCTTTCATATTATTGTGATCCATAAAATTTTCACTCTGTATGAACTACTCTCCGAGTGTTCCTGATGTTGCAAGTGATGCTGGCTATTCCATCTTCTTAATGTGACATATCCGCAGGAGGGCTCAGAAGGTGGTTCAACCCACCATGGTTCCCAGAACAAGTACCTTCAACTCCATATGACCCCCTAGTCTTACGTGAGGCCTTTGAGAAGGTTTGCTCTGGACTTCCCTCATACTCTTTTGATTAATTAGATTGCTATTACATTTTGAATGGCTCTAATTTGTCACAAAACACTCAAAATAAGTAAGTATAGTGATGGCTGCAAAAATCAAATTTGTACATGTTATAAGTTCATCATAAGATCTGATTAGATATACATTGTTGGTACCAAAAAACATATACGCCGTCTTCCCTTGTTCAAAGTTGAGTAATGCCAAGATGGAGGCTTCTTAATATTCAATGTCAATTCTAGTTGCCTTCTTGTAGCAAGTAAATGTCTCAATTTGACAGAATATTAAGTCAAATATTTATCTTTGAACAATAAGTAGTATGGACTGCCTGCCTCTTGTCTGCTCAAAAACTTTAGCAAGTTAATTGCTAATGGGTTTGATCTGGTGCATGATAAGCTCCATGCCTCTATGTTGCTTACGTGTTTATTTTCTTTAATTCAGATTGAAAAAACAGTCCATTTCGTTGTTTTCTGGCATCTTTTAAAGCAGAATTGTGTTTAGCAGATTTGATTATTTATTTTTATTTTTATTTTTTATTAGATGTTCTTAGATTGCGTTAGACAGTGTCACTGATTTTGGAATTTCCAATATTTTTTCTTGGGCTTTATGAATGTTTGGTCAATTTCAAGCATCTTTGGGACCTGAGATTCATTAGGTTCATTCATAGAGAAATGCATTGTTGAAAGAAAAATTATTGAATTTTGAGAGGAAAAAGAACTTCCGAAAAGTCTTCCTTGCATCTTTTAGTCAATCTTATGCTGCATGTAGTAGTGCTAGTGTTGTAAGCAACTTCTGAGCTGTGTTACTAGAGAATACTATTCAGTGTTTTTGGTTTCAATTTTCTGAAAATTGTGTTTTTTGTTTTTTGTATTTTTTTGTTTTTATTGAATATTTTTTAAATTTTAAGCATTTTTTTTAAAAACTTTTTTAGATGCACCTAACTTAGATGTATCTAAATAATAAAATATTTGTGAAAAAAATATTTTAAAAAATTAATAAATATACAAAAATACGAAAAATGTACTGAATTTTAATTTTTTTTTTGTATTTTTTGGTATTTAGTGTATTTTTTAAAGTTTTTTTTTCACAAATATTATACTTTTAAGTGTATTTATGTTATGTGTGTCTAAAAATTAAAAAAAATTGCTTAAAATAATAAAAAAATTCATTGAAAAAATTAAAATACAGAAAATAAAAAAGTAGAATTTTCTGAAAACTGTGTTTTGAAAACCAGAACCAAACAAGCTGATTACTTTTGTGATTTATGTAATCATGTTGGGATACACATCCTAAAATATGGTGCACTTTTTTTTTTCCATGTTGTAAACTTATTAATCCGGAATTTTTTTTCTTCTTCCCATAATTTTCTTATTTTATGTAATAGCTAGGAAAAAGAAAAGGAATGCCCAATTAGTTGCATTCTATAGTAACTACTAGTAAGATGCAGTTTTTTTAGGATGAGATTGAGGAAATGGTTGTAACAAAGAAAACAATAATTTTTTAAAAAAAAAGAGTTGAAACACTCGTATCTAGAATAACCTTGATGCATCAGATTATGTGGTCTGATGTGTTTAGCATTCCATTGTCTTATAGTTTCCGACTACGTGGTCCTATCTTGTTTCTGTTCCGTTCCACTTGTTGTAATGATCATTTTGATAGTTAGAAGCTAGGAAGCATGGACAAGCCAGAATGGGTGATGTGATACACTATTCCAAGGTTTTGAAACCCGGACCGGACTGGCTGGTTCAACTGATGACCGGATGAGGTTCCGGTCCGGTTGGCCCTCTAAAACCGGTCAAGTGTAAAAACCGGTGTATTTATTGAAAACCGGTGAAACCCGCGGTTAAACCGGTAAACCGGTTGACCCGTTCCCGGGTTGATTGAACCAGGACGGTTTGCTTGTATATATAAGAAATTTTTTTTTCAGATCTACTTTGTTGTTGATCTTTAGATTTTTTTTCTTTCTTTTTTTTCTTTCTTATTATATATATATATATATATATATAACAATATAAGAAAATTTTAATTTGAAACTCTTTTTCAAGGGTCTCCTCTTGTGAGGAATCCCATTAAGAGCTTGATGAAATTATTGTGAAAGTCTTTACCTATTTATAAGAAAAAAATTCTTTCAAAAAGACTCAAGAAATTCATGTGAGATTCAATCAAATGTATTGGAGGGAATATTGAAATTTTGATATCCCTCCAAATTTTTTGCTTTCCTTTCAATCAAATTATTTGAATTAAAATCATATAGAGGGAATATTAAATATTTGATTTCATCTTCCAAAATTGAAATTAATAATATTTTAAAATATATTATTATATTTTTCAGTAAAAAAAATATTAGGACAAATATTTAAGATAATTTAATATTTTTAATATTTTTAATTTATAATTTTATTACTTATATTTTTATTTAAATATAATTTTAAGCAATGTTTTAAAAACCGGACCGGTGAACGAACCGGAAAAGGCATCGGGTGGACGGGTCACCGGTTCAACCGTCGGGTTGAACCGGAATCGAACCGTGACGTAATAAATATATTAAAATTATATTTAAATAAAAATATAAGTAATAAAATTATAAATTAAAAATATTAAAAATATTAAATTATCTTAAATATTTGTCCTAATATTTTTTTTACTGAAAAATATAATAATATATTTTAAAATATTATTAATTTCAATTTTGGAAGATGAAATCAAATATTTAATATTCCCTCCATATGATTTTAATTCAAATAATTTGATTGAAAGGAAAGCAAAAATTTTGGAGGGATATCAAAATTTCAATATTCCCTCCAATACATTTGATTAAATCCCACATAGATTTCTTGAGTTTTTTTGAAAGAGTTTTTTTCTTATAAATAGGTGAAGACTTTCACAATAATTTCATCAAACTCTTAATGGGATTCCTCACAAGAGGAGACCCTTGAAAAAGAGTTTGAAATTAAAATTTTCTTATATTCTTATATTTTATATATATATATATATATATATAAAATATAAGAATATAAGAAAATTTTAATTTCAAACTCTTTTTCAAGGGTCTCCTCTTGTGAGGAATCCCATTAAGAGTTTGATGAAATTATTGTGAAAGTCTTCACCTATTTATAAGAAAAAAACTCTTTCAAAAAAACTCAAGAAATCTATGTGGGATTCAATCAAATGTATTGGAGGGAATATTGAAATTTTGATATCCCTCCAAAATTTTTGCTTTCCTTTCAATCAAATTATTTGAATTAAAATCATATGGAGGGAATATTAAATATTTGATTTCATCTTCCAAAATTGAAATTAATAATATTTTAAAATATATTATTATATTTTTCAGTAAAAAAAATATTAGGACAAATATTTAAGATAATTTAATATTTTAAATATTTTTAATTTATAATTTTATTACTTATATTTTTATTTAAATATAATTTTAATATATTTATTACGTCACGGTTTGATTCTAGTTCAACCCGACGGTTGAACCGGTGACCCGTCCACCCGATCCTTTTTCCGGTTCGCTTACCGGTCCGGTTTTTAAAACATTGCATTATTCGGTGTGTCAATTTTTCTTATTATTACTTTTTCTTGGACATGTTAGGGACCTGTGTCTAAACACTCCTCAAGACACGTTTTTGGGTTTTCTTTTCAATAATTTTGGAAATTTAATTTGGGGTTAAAGTAGGAGTGTGTACAGGGTCCGTTTGGGTTAGTTTTGGGGGACTACCCTTGGCAGATTGAGAATTTTCTGACCCGTTGCCAAACCGCCTATCCTCAAAATTGGCTGGTGGTTGAATATTTTGGCAATTTTGAACTAGTGGGTTGAGTGGGTTAGAAATACGTAATGGGGAAAAACATAAGTGAACAAAGAAGCATAATTAAACCTCATGCCAACTGTCCCGCCGATATTTATCATCTAACTCGCTCACCCAATCTGCTGACCTTCTCAAACTGCACAGGTTGGTTTGGGTCTGTGTGGATTGCCGGGTTGACCTTTTTTTCACACTAATAGGTTAAGCAAAGAGAGAGGAAAGTCGAAAAAATAACAAAAATGCCCCAACATATACATTGATGTCTCTCATAACTCGGTGCCCTAAATTTATTTGGGAGAGGCAGAATAAAATCAAGAGATTATATTTTCTTTGACATGTGATTTATGTATTTTTGATGGATGATCTATTTATCATTGAACTTAAATGCTTTTTTTATTATTTTTCATGTTGAATTAGTGTTGGTTTTTCATTATTTTTTGCTGTGGTTCAATTTTATATTTATATAAATAGCAAATAAAAATATGTAAAAGTATTTTTTCTATCCCTGCCGTGTTCATATCTTGAAATTTTGAAATTCACTGTGACTCGTGTCCAACTCCGACTCTCCTGTACTCCTCCTGTAAGAAGTCTGTCCTATCCTGATGTGCTTTTTATCCCTTTGAGTTAATGCATAGACCCAATTTGCCCTGGCTGGGATGGTGCTTAGTGTTATCTTTTACAAAATTGTTCAAGTTTGGATAGGGAGGGTTGTGTTTGTTAACCTGTTTCATGCCTAGTGTTTTATCTTTTACACAACTGGTTTCAAGCTCGGATAAGGAGGGTTGTGTTAGGTAACCCGACCGGCAGCACGTAAAAATCTGTCAGCAAAAAATGATTCATGTAGCCAACCCCACTAAATTGGAATACAGTGCTTGGTTGGTTGGGTTTGCAATGTCTGGATCGGAAGGGTTGCGTTTGGTTACCTGTTTCATGCCTAGTGTTTTATCTTTTACACAACTGGTTTCAAGCTCGGATAAGGAGGGTTGTGTTAGGTAACCTGACTGGCAGCACGTAAAAATCTGTGAGCAAAAAATGATTCATGTAGCCGACCCCACTAAATTGGAATATAGTGCTTGGTTGGTTTGGTTTGCAATGTCCCGTGTCCATGTCCGTGCTTCTTAGGTTAGAAGAGTAGATCTGTGGATCCGTTCTTTCTCTTATTCAGTATTAGACCTTTGTCTGTGTGAATTACCAAAAAGAAGTAAAAATTCTTTTGAAAATCATACAAGTATTTCTTGGCATTATGCTCTTATTGATTATTGATTGTATTATTTTATTTTTGTTTATTCTATTTTCTTAAGATGTTTTAATGGCAATTTTTTATGCAGGCTGTGGTCAAGAGACTTATGACAGACGTACCATTTGGTGTACTTCTGTCTGGAGGCCTTGACTCATCAATTGTTGCTGCTGTGGCCTCCCGTTACATGGTCGAATCAGAAGCTGCTTGCCAGTGGGGATCACAGTTGCATACTTTTTGCATTGGTTTGAAGGTCGTAATACTTATGTCATTTTAAATAGTTATGAGTTGTACCTTTCGCTATCCATTATTTATTTTGGAAGTGTGCTTGGACCATTTTAACTGTGCTGTATACAATCACTGTTATATATCTTTTGCATTGGTGCCATTTCTAAATTATTAGGAACATTTTGTTTCTTATTCTATATTTTTTTTTGTATTTTCTCATTTTTTTGACATGCATTTTTGTCTGCTCAATGTTTTTTTTAACCTCACTGACTAGCTTTATAGCTGTCTTATACTGTCCCATCTCTTTATCCATCCTAAACACTATTGTTGATGTCCTCTCTTTGTTCCTAATGGATATCAATGGTTACTCTTGAGCTCATCACTATCACAATACCTTAATTTCTAAACTTCGTGTGTTTTTTGTCCCATTTAAATGTTTTAGCTTATTACAGGGTATCTCTTCATAGTTCTTACTTTGGCAATCCCTCTTTTTTATGAGCTAAAATTATGTCATTAACAAGTAACACACATTGTGGGATACGTGTCATTTTCTTTTAAACCTACCATAAAGAAGTAATCAATGTTATTAGAGATGCATAGTTAATTTATATCTAGGAAGAATGGAAGATGATGACATAATAATATTAATTCAAAATATATGCGGCCTGTGATTCAGGATTTCGAAATTTTTAAATATCAGTTTTGGGTTGCTTCAATCAGTGAAACCTAACGGGGATTTTGTTACTCTTGTGACAACGCATGATGACTTCCAAATATAGTAATTAAAATTAGTATATAAATACAATGTTGACTGTGATGTTATTAGCATCTATTTCATGTGGAAATATTGTCATTGGCGTGAGCAAAGTTTGAAAAGGCAGCAACTTTAGGACTACACCATACAAAGCTAAAGCTTCACCAAGGATTGCTTGGAAGAGTGCATTTTGGATTTTTTAACCACTCAACTTGATAGACATATTTGTTTTTTTCTCCTTTTAAATGCCTCTCCTGCTTTTTCTTTCAGGGTTCTCCAGATCTGAAAGCTGCCAGAGAGGTAGCAGATTATCTTGGCACTCGCCACCATGAGTTTTACTTTACTGTTCAGGTATGCTTTCTTGTTTTCCGTCAACAGTAAGAAAATTCATCTATTGCGTTCATCCCCTGTGCTTTAGGATTGTAAGTTGATTTCCTTTGCTATATCAGGAAGGCATCGATGCACTTGAGGAAGTCATCTATCATGTTGAAACATATGATGTGACCACTATTAGAGCCAGTACTCCAATGTTCCTTATGTCTCGGAAAATTAAATCTTTGGGAGTAAAAATGGTTCTTTCTGGTGAAGGTTCAGATGAAATTTTTGGTGGTTACTTGTATTTCCACAAGGCACCCAACAAGGAGGAGTTTCACCAGGAAACATGTCAAAAGGTCCTTTTTCTTTCTCTGTATAGAAGTTGAAGAGTTTTTATTGTGCATTGTAAACTATAGCTCACTTTTGCATCGTCAATATATCGTTCCATTTCTGATGGCTGCTTAATATTTTATCAGATCAAAGCTCTGCATCTGTACGACTGCCTTAGGGCCAATAAATCAACTTCAGCATGGGGTGTGGAGGCTCGTGTACCTTTCTTAGATAAAGAATTCATCAACATTGCAATGAGCATTGATCCAGAGTGGAAGATGGTAAAGTACAGGGATCATGAATTTTGGTTTAAATTTATTTCCACGTCTTTGAACTGCACAATAGTTTGAGCTGGTGGCTACCTTAGAAACAAAAATTTTGTTTTCGTGCCATATAAAATAAAAATGTCAAATAATTGAAGACTACAAAAGGATTCACATTTAGCATCATGAGCTTACATGTATCACTATGTAACATGGATTTGGATACAAGTATCGGGTACATGTCTGTGTCCAAGCATCAGACCTACACAAACTTGAATCTTAGGATATGTACGGGGATTTGTTATAGATACTTATATATGTTATATATTATATGATATTCTTAGATAAGATAATGTAAATTATGTAGAAATATACTTGAATTCAATAGGATTTAGGGAAAATATGAAAATTTCTATCTCTCATCCATGTCAAAGGCTATAAAATGTTTCTTTTCTAGCAAATTTGAATTTCTTGTTCTTTAGACATTATAAAAAGTTAGATGATCCAAGTGTCTACATTGGGTAAGGGTTTCGGACACATTCCACACCCTTATCCCTGTCATATCCAATGGACTTGGGTACTTTGGGGGAAATAGAAGAGTCATGGTATTGAATTTTGGTATGTGCTGTCACTTCCATGCCTTCCTTTCAATATGTATACACATTATCTGAATTCGGGAATGCAACTATTGCTGTGTTAAAAATGGCATGGAATTAGTCTCCTTAAGTTGTTGATACATTATTACTGCTAGATGTTGGATGAATCTTATTTTTTTGTGTGAAGGGTCAGAAATTTGTATGACTGATGTACGTGTACAATTGAGCAATTATCAAAGAAAATTTTCCAAGGATATGCATTGTAATTACCTTGTTCCACAAATTACAGATTAGGCCTGATCTTGGAAGGATTGAGAAGTGGGTTTTACGTAATGCATTTGATGATGATCAGAAACCATATCTGCCAAAGGTTTGTGGCATTCCTACTTTGTGCACAGGTTTAAGCATTCTACTTCTCATATCAAGTTATATGGTAGAGTTCAGTTATATTCTATCCCACCTCCCTTCCCCCAACTGGCAATCAGTGGGAAGAGTTTTATTGATCGATTTTATTGAATTATTTATAGATTTTTATACTTATTGTCTGAGTTGTTGAAAAGTCTCTTTTTTGGCTCTAGCACATTTTGTACAGGCAGAAGGAACAGTTCAGTGATGGAGTAGGTTACAGTTGGATTGACGGATTGAAGGATCATGCAAATGAACATGTACTAAATTTTCTTCACTTGTGCAAACATAACACGGTGTTAGATTTATTTGGCAAGCGGTGACCGTTTCTTGGGCATTTATCGTTAAGTGATATTATCTCATTTTCTGTTTGTAACTGGGCAGGTCACCGATTCAATGTTGTCGCATGCAAGCTTCGTATACCCTGAAAATACGCCTGCCACAAAAGAGGCTTACTATTACAGGACCATTTTTGAGAAGTTCTTTCCGAAGGTGGGATCTTATAACTTTTTCCTTTTCCTCTTCCTTTTTATACATTTTCTAATCTTTTGGAGGATGATATAATTGTAATTGACTTGCTCTGCTTTTAATTAAAATGTTTTTGTTTATTACTTTCAATGATGTCAACAAGCAAGTGTTATCTGACTATGATCAATTTGATTTAGAGAGGGTACACGGGAAGAAATAGACGACCTTCATCTTATTTGGGTGGTGTTGAAGTTTTATAATATTCCTTGTTTTATTTTTTTCTTTTTTTTTAGGGCAGTTAAAATGAATTGTTTTATCCTACCTGTCAATATGTTCGCCCAGATACTTTGTTTTCCTTATTTTATTTATGTTAATTGAATTTGGCATTTTTTTGAGCAGAATGCTGCGAGGTCAACGGTTCCAGGAGGTCCCAGTGTGGCCTGTAGTACTGCAAAAGCCGTGGAATGGGATGCATCATGGGCAAAAAATCCCGACCCATCAGGTCGTGCCGCTCTTGGTGTTCATGCAGCTGCTTATGAGGAAGCAGTGGAGGCTAAGAATGCTAGTGTGATGAACGGTCTCCCTGAGAAAATACAAGGAGCAGCAGAGAAGACTGCAACAGTTGCTTGATTAAAAGAGCTAGTTTGTTTTTATTTTTTTGTATCTAAATAGCACATTTTTTTTTGTTTATTTTATCTCGTAGGCATTGTGACAGCTTTTCCTTGTGATACTCATCATCCTTTCAGTACTCTCCTAGTTTCTTATGTTCAACTTTTTTCTTAAAAAGACTGGTCTAAACATGAAGTTCCTCCTAACAAATCATTCTCTCTGATCTTAAAAGGAGCATTTTGATTTTGAAGACGGATATTTATTTATTTATTTTTTTTTTTGAGATATTGACTGTAATGTGTGACTAGGTCATAGAGGCAAACGAGCCTGATGTTAGCTTTTAGCAACTTTAATTAGGCTTCTAAAACTAGGGTTTGAGTATTGTTCATTTGCTTGTTTCTATATTTACATTTGTGATGTTCCGTGCTTTCTGTCATCTGTCCAATGTCCTGAGATTTAGTTTTCTCTATAGTCTGTAGACCTAACATGTTGGCTGATCTTGTAACCTTGTGAGTAAACATGGTGGAAGTACCCAAAGGCTCAAAATTCCTTGCCTGCATTCCGTCTTGGACGCTTGGAAATTATGCCCTGTATGGTTGCCTCTGTATTTGCAGTAAGGTCCTGAAATTGCTCCAAACTTGTAGGTATTTTGCCCTTTGATTTGATATTGGCTTGTTTAGTTGTGTTTTCATTTTCTACCTGAACTTGTTTGGCAAACTATTTTGAAAAATGAAACCTAATTTTGGTAAATTTTTCCAAAAGCAATCAACTTAGTAGGAAACACCAATGAATTTTAGAAACACACACAGGCGCACGCACAAAAAAAAAGAAGAAGAAATTGGGAATTTTTGAATTTTTCATTATTTTTATTCTCAAAAACACAAAAAAACAAAAATACAACAAAACAGGGCCAGGCAGAAGTCCCCAAACTTGACTAGTTTAAGGGATTGTATGAAATGAGCTGAAGAGTCTTGCAAATATACAATTCTGAGTTAATACAATTCCAGTGAATAGTTAGTACTTTCATGTTAAATTTCGTACGCTGTTTACAATTAAACTGTAGCGACAGCATTCTCTCCAAACCTAACCAGTTAGTTTCCAGCAAATGAAAACAAAATACACAAAACAAAACCACAAACAAACACTTAAGATGTGTTTGAATCATGAATTTAGATATGAATTTTAAAAGAAAAAGAGAAAAAAAGAGTATAATATAACAGCATTTTACCAACGTTTGACCCACATTTTCCTTTTCTATATTCATAACCAAATTCATGATCCAAATATAATCTTAGAATTCCAAACTCCTCTTTGGTTTTCTATAAAAACTTTGGAAACCAAACAAACATTCAAGGGGAACAAAAGCCAAATAAAAACAAGTAAAACAGTACACGCGAAAGTTGGTGTAACGCCATAAAATTAACCGTTAGATTAACTGAACCAGAGCCGAGAAAGCAGTGCAAAGTCACTAGTTCTAGGGAGATGCGTTATAAATGTGCTGCCACAATTCACTTTATACCCAAAACTGGCTTCAAACATTATTCAAAACGCATTCATTATATACAGAGAGTATGGCAAGACACATCCATACAGGGTAACATCTATGTCTCTTAATATATACACAAGTCAACCACCCAGATCTATAGAGTGATGAATCATGGCAAAGAAAGACGGTGGTTTTGCTTCATGCAAGATCATTTTACCACCGGCAAATCCCAGGTGACTCAGTCCGCAACAATGAAACCATCTCTTCATACTGTGAAGCATATACAAAGCCCCACAACTGCACCACACCCAAAAAAAAAAAAAAAAAATTTTTTTGTGATATATACATATGAAAAGCAGAACCTACCGTAACTATAAATAAATGGATATTTTTCGGGAATGCTTGTGGAGAAAGGGACATATTTTTTATTTTTTATTTCCTTGCTTTAAGCAAAAGAAAAATCCTATCCACCAGATCATTTTACATTTCAATCTGAATTAGAGATTCTGTGTATAGCTAGCTACAAGTGTCCCTTGATGACATATGCATCTGATCATATATGTATTACCATTATGTATTAAAATAAAAAGGAGCTTTTAATGTAAGCTATAAAACATATCACTGTAGCACGAGCACTAATACGTACCCTATGGTTCGGTTCTTTAGCAAATATATTTGAAAGAGATTCATCGTACCCTATCCATATTTTATCTTCTGTTGTATTTTGTAAATGAACCTCTTGTGAACAAAATTAGTATTACACATCTCATTACTGTTGATGATGCACAATCAATCTCATCTATACTATTATAAAGAGAAGGCCCAACTTTGTGTTTGTCTCATTTTTTTGGTTTTTCCAGTGTTTCCTATAGCAATTAGGTGGGTGGTTATGCCCTAAATTCAGGGTGCATTTATTTATTTATTTTTTAAATCTCTGAACTTTTGATTTCAGATTTTGAATTAAATCATATAATTTACAATTATATTTTTTTGAAATAAAATGATTATATGCACAAGCATCGCGTGTGCCACCACTTCTAGTGTGTGTGTATATATATATATATACAGAGAGAGAGAGAGAGAGAGAGAGAAACAAGAGAGAGAGTATAACAACCTCAATTTCCTTCACTTCAAAATCTTCGGTGTGTGCCAAACAAGAGTTTCCGTATGTTTCCGAGTCTGAACTTGAACCGTTTAATCTTGAACAGGGAAACAAAAAGTTAGATTACAGTATAACAACTCTACCTTCAATGGGGTTTGAAGTCTGAAACACTTAATAAGAAAGTCATAAACAAAAGAAAAGAGAATAGAAGAGGGAGAAAGAAACTCACAGATCACTATCCAAATAAAGTGCGAAGTGACTTCCACCACCCAATGCTAGAAAGTCCGTGGAGCACAAAGTGAAATAGCGATTCAACCCTGCTTAATATGTAGCTGTCAGTTTATCAAATTTACCACTTAACAATGATACAAATCAGAAGACTAACTTTTGGCTGTGTTAGACAAAACATGACAATCTTTTGACATTTAAAACTTATTTAACTTATTAACCAATTTAAGTATATAAGAGTTACTAAGGCCCCGTTTGATTGTCCGGATTGGATATAAAGGTTTGATGAGGATATGTAATACCTAAAGATAAAGATGGGATATAATATGCTATAGGATATGAGATGGATTATATATACTGTGTGGTCACTTATATTATGTTTGGAAAAGATAGGATATAGGATGTAGGATGAGATAAGAGAAGAGTAATTAGTTTTGACATTTGGAGGAAAGATTTCCTATATCTGACGGTGGGAGATATACAATACCATGGGGGTGTTGGTATTGCATATCCCCTTCTTTTGCATCATATACTATCCGGACTCTCTATATCCATGAGATATAGGGAGACGAGAAAACATGTAGGATCCACCTCATATTATATCCGGTCCCACCCTCATATCCGCCCTTATATATTGTAAACAAACAGGGCCTAAAATTCTTGATTTCAACTTTGGAAACTTTTTAAATTATTATATTTTGCATTTTTCTTTTCCAAGTGCATTGCAAGGAAAGATTTGAATTTATCCATGGAAAAAATGGACTAGTAATAATCCTAGCCATTGCTGTCAGATCGTGAATCGTTTTGACTTGTGAATAGTAAATTTTACTTTATTAGCATAATCTATAATTTTATATATTTATGTACATATAAAAATACACATGTAGTGTTTAAAATGAAATAAATGTCAATATAACTAAATTGTTTGTATAAATACATATAAAACCACATTTATCAATACAATTAGTTGATCTCTTTTATTTTACTTTTTTATTTATTTGTTTTTTTTAACTAAATCATTTGTGAATCACAATTGAATTGTAAGATTCACTCAATTTAAGATTCAACTGCACGAATCGAATTGTTTTGCTTAAAAATGTATCAAATCATATGATTGCTATAGTATATGAGATGGATTATATATACTGTGTGGTCACTTATATTATGTTTGGTAAAGATAGGATATAGGATGTAGGATGTAAAATGAAATAAATGTCAATATAACTAAATTGTTTGTATAAATACATATAAAACCACATTTATCAATACAATTAGTTGATCTCTTTTATTTTACTTTTTTATTTATTTGTTTTTTTTAACTAAATCATTTGTGAATCACAATTGAATTGTAAGATTCACTCAATTTAAGATTCAACTGCACGAATCGAATTGTTTTGCTTAAAAATGTATCAAATCATATGATCTAATTGCGAATTGTAAGATTTTCCTGGTCCTAGCCACTTTTGCCAATTCTTGTTCAACTTTATACATGACAAGAAGAAACATATTTGTTCCAGCAATCAAGCATTTCTCAACCCTAGAAGATAGATTCTACAGAGGGAATGGCATTTTCAAACAATCAAAGTATTCAGTTTTTGCCTCTAGCATGTGCTTATAGTCTAAAAAACTAAAAAGTATTGTGGTGCAAATGGGTAAACAATAATCTTTAATAGTCATGAAGATCTGATCCAGAGATTAGGGCAGGAAGGTCTGATCTAGCATTGAAGACATCATCAACAAGAAAACAACTATTAGAAGACGCAAATTTTACTAACAAATTTTCGCAATAAGATAAATAACAAGCGTGTAATTTGGGTCAAGAATCACTTTGGTCCTTATAGTGTCATCTGTGAAAAATGACCATATACTCTCCAATTTGTTTCAGTTAGGTCTAGCTGTCAAATTCTTGCAAGGGATTCATTTTGGACAGGAAAAGCATGACAATGCCACATGGCTTTCTATGACAACATGGAGCTCCCATGGATCCTACGTAGCTCCCATGTGGAGCTACATGTGTTTGTTCTGTCTAAATCCCTTATGGGGAGCTGATAGTTGACCCAATTGAAACTGATTAGAAAGTATAGCAGCCACAGCGCCACAACTGAAACTACATGGCTCAAAGTGAAATTGGGCTCAAACTTCAGGGGTACAAATGTAATTCACCTTTTACAAAAACATTTTTCACAGTAATGCATTACAAGTATCATGCCCCTATGAGAAACATAAAGCAAGTAAAGTGTAAGAATGCCATTCTAATCATTTGTTTTAAATCAAATAAAATCATTCAGAAAAAAGGAGAAAACAAAGAAAAGAAGACAAGTGCTTTCAAAAGCAGAAGATGCACAAAGAAAAAACAGGAATTCCTTGAAAGACAAAGGTATGCCTATTACCTGTGGGCCGGAATATAACTGGATGTCCAGGTGTATTTGTAAACACAAATGAATTATTTGTTCCCTGCTCCAAATCCATTGTTGAGTCAGAAAATATGGGGAACAAATCCTTGTCAAATTAGTTCAAAAAAAAAGTGTTGTTTAGCAGCACCTCATATTTTCTCTTGCTCGTGGGTCTTAAGGGTGCCTCAACTAAGCCACCAAATACTGCACCTTTACGATCTCCAACAACCTGAAAAATAACACAGTTGTGACTAAAAGAAAGAGAGTTTGACCACAGATGAAACTTATACGTACACACACCGGAAGGTCAAAGAGTCCAATGCTATCATAGTAAACTGTTAAGGAAACAAATATCCAAAGGTATGTTACCAGACGAAATAACAACCAAAACTTATCTCTAAAAGCATGTGACTGCACCACAACCATATCCTCTCTCTCAAGCATGTTTGGTTGAGTTATTCCTTCTAAGGATGTTGAATCAGTATACTTGTTCTTGACTCGTAGACTACACTGGTCCGGAACCTCCATTGATAAAAGCATGGTGTTGATACAACAACAAATATGTTTGCCTTCTGATACACTATGTAGGGTGCTTTAAAAAGTCATATTTTTCTAATTCTCATGATACATCCAGGAAGATGCAGCTAACTGAAATATATTGGTAGCTAAAATAAGTCATGTTAGGACAAAATGTGAAGTAAAGAAAACTCTTTCACCTGTCACAAGTATTAAAATACTGGTTGTAGCCGTAATATAACAGCACAGGCAAATGGGCTTTATAGTTGTGGGCAAAGCAAACTCTACATAGGTAGTACGCTGTACTATACATGAGTTAAAATGTGGAGGCGAAAGATATAATATTTTATTGGATTAAATATTGGAAATTGGGACAAATTAGTGGGTGAGAATTTCATGCTTTTACAATATTACCATTTCGGACATCCATAGGTTGGGAACAGCACTTAATCGACAGCCTAGATTAACCGTAACAATGGAAGATTCAGAAGCTAGTTTGCAAACACAATTAAATAATGAATTTGCAAGAAAACCAAAATGCACAGCAAAAGGAAGAAAAATGCAGTTATCGGCATCCTTATCTGTATTAAATATAACATGCAAATGTCCCTTCAATTTTGAGAATGTAAAGGACAATTTCCAATGATCCACAAATTATTTGGGAATCACTAGCAGTCTAGCATCATTTGAGAATTTGTGAAAATGGTTTAGAAAGCCATATGAAATAGATTGTAGAAACAATTGACAAATAACATGTTCGTACATCCTAGCGAACTAATTTTCACCAAAAAAAAAATGATGTCCTTTGTCCATGGAGCTGCCTCCATTTACCTCTCTGTTGTCATTGTCAGTGTTTGTTTTTCCCCCGCAACATGGTTGCCACCAACAATTAACATGAAGAAAAGATCATTAACTACCACAAATATTTGACAATAGATTACCAGCAAACTGAGACCAGGACAAAGCATGCTTCTTCTATACAGTGTTGAAAGTGAAATTCCGTGCCTCCATGTGCTGCAGAGACAAGAGAGTGATGTCAAACGAAATGGAAAATTGTTAAATGATACCAAACATATGAATATTCAGAAAAGATTCACATTTAAATTAACAAATATACCCCATTCTATACCTGTAAAGTAATATCCATTTCCTCCCCTGAACAAGGGCAGGGAGTGCAAGATAAAGAGTACTCCGTGTTTTCTCAGTGAGAAGCAATGAGGGTTCAGAAATTTCTGGAAGATTGTCCAAATGCTCAGGTTCACTCAAAGTTTGCATAGGAATACCATCATCCTCAACAACTTTAGAATTGTTTCCAACATTGATTGTCATGTCAGAACTGCCCTTACGTTCTGAGGCTCGATTTCGGTACCCACCTAGTCTTGCAGCTTGAGAAAGAGCTCTACCAAGGGATTGTTTACCCCTTGAAATTAAACTCTTCTTTCCAACACTTCCTTTCATTATTGGGTCACATATTGGTTCACACGTCTCCTCTTGACACTCATTTTTCCCATCAAGTTTGGAATTAGTTCCAGATTCTGATGATGATAGTAGGGAATACAGGAACGCAGAAAAAGAAGATGTATCAGGCCCATCAACTAAATCTGCATTACCCACTTCTGAAATTGACTCTAGTTGACTTCGTTTTGGCTCGGTCTCATCGTCCTATCAAAACAAAAATTAAATACTTAAAAAAGTCGGAAATAAACAAAATTATTCTAAATTAAATGCAGCTATATCAATATAAGTTAAAAACTTTCTACATCCATGTGGTTGAGGGTTATATATCACTAGTATCCAATGCAACTCCTTTGAAAGTTTTCAACTTATAAGGAAACGCTTCCATTTCTTCTTAAATTAAAAACCAAGTGGTCGCATGCTTGTGGTTCTTGTGATACTCCAAACAGGGTCTGCCACAATTTTCATTCTTTATCACTGTAATCTTTCTCAAAGAAATAAGGATTGCAATTTATATATAGGAAGACAAGATAGGGGGTGATTATAGAGCATGTATTCAAGAAATGAGAAAAACTTCTATTGGCCATCAAATTAGTCTTTATAATAGAAATCTTTATGGTATTTTATGGAATAACGGTGAATCATATGTTAAACGTGCATGAATGAAGCCTGAAAATTTTCTCAATAATATTAACAATAAAGACAAAAGATGGATGGTAAAGGTACCCATTGAATAAACCCAAGTAACAAACCCATAAAAACACACTGCATAAAGCAATCAAAAAAGCTAAATTTTGAATTGGGTTTTCTGTTCCTGCAATTAGATCCAGAAACACTGATCTTCCACTAGATTAAACATGCATATCAAAAACAATTAAAGAATCCCCTGTAAAAACCCTAGAAACGACCTCCAAGAAATTGTATATAAACCTTCAGAAGAATACTGGAAAACAAAAATCCAAGTACAAACCATAAAATTTGAAATTGGGTTTCCAAGAAATGATCAGAAAAATGGAAAATAGGTAAATAGATATATACATAGGAGTCATCAAAATCTTATTGAACAACAAATGGATTAAGAGAGAGACTTACAGCTTGAGGATGTTTAGGCTTGGAGGGTTTGTCAGAGATGGGGTTGAGGAAGACAGTGGTGAGATCAGATACAAAGTGGGCAGCTTTACTTCTTAGAGAGGGGTGGTGTTGTTGCCTACCCATTTTCTGATCAAAAATAAATATTCCCACTTTCTAAATTTATATATATATCACTCTTCTCTCTATAGAAGTCAATAATAATCTGTAGGTATGTAATCACTCTCTTAGGTGGAAGAGAAGGAATCGGGCAAAGATGAAGAGTATGGTCTAAGTCTCTCTCTCTATCATCTTCTTCTCGTCAAGAACCTGTCAAAAATGTTGACCCATCTGCGGACATACCAACTTACTCTTTTTTTTTTTTTTTTTCTTTTGTAAAAAAAAAAAAAAATAGCAAAAGAGATATACTTATCCACTTCGTGTACCTTATATAAGAATTTAGAGATTATTTAAAATTTTATATTAATAGTTAAGAATTTAGAGATTATTTAAAATTTTATATTAATAGTTTAGATTTATTTTATATGTAATTTTACCTTTTATCAATTCAATTTTCACCATCTAAATTTATTTCTAAAGCCTTATTTGTCATCACTTAAAAAAAAATTAAAAAGTCACTATCCTATTTAAATCACACCATCTTATTTAAGTCACATCTTTTCTCCACCACATTATTTCAAACTCAACTCATATCTATACTATATATTAAGTAAAAGGGGGTTTTTAACCCCAAACCTTGTAGGAGCTCCAATCTCCCAATCTAAATTTCCTAATTTTTTGATTTTTTTTAAATTTTTTTTAACATTTATTAACTTCTCCCAACTCCCAAGTCTTACCTTTATAATAATACTTTATTGCATCAAGAACAAGCATAAAAAAAATTCTTTGAAATTCAACACATGAATTCCTTAAAAATTCCCAACACATATGATTATTATCACTCATAATAACATTTTAATGCATTAAGAATAAATATAAAAAAAATTTCGTGAAAAATTTAACACATATGATTATTATCAAAATATTAAACTTTAATATAATATAAAAAAAGAAAAAAAGAAGACATTTAAAAAAAAATATATTTAAAAATCACAATTCACATATATAGATAATTATAAAAACAATCCGTGCATAGCACGGGTGATATGCTAGTTTCATAAAAAGTCAAAAAGTGCACTTATTTAGAACATTCCAAATAACCCCTAAGTACATTTTGGATCTCAAATTTTGAAACTCTAAGTTTGCGTTTGGTTTAGTTTTAGAGTTGTAATTCTCTTTTTAGAGTTATGATTTGAGTGTGAAATTATGAGTTGAGTTTTGAAAAGAAAAAATTTGTTTGGTTATGAATTTTGAAAAGTGTTTTGAAGGGAATTTTGAAAATAGTTTTTAAATTTTAAAAAGAATTTTCAAAAAGGTTTTGAGTTGTATTTTGAGAGAGTTTTTGAATTTTAAGTTGTATTTTGAATTTTTTGTATTTATTTTTTAAAAATATTAAAAAAATGTTTCAGAATTTTTTTTTATACATTTTAAACATTTTATTTTATTTTGTAACTATTTTAATTTTTAATTTTAATATTTTAAACTCAAAACATAATTTCACATTCAAATCGTAACCAAACATATAACTTAAAACTAAATTCAAAAATTATTTTCAAAACTTATAACCAAACACATAAATTGAAACTCCACATTCAAATCATAACTAACCCATAACAAAAAAAATTAAAATATTTAAAAATATATTTATAAAATAAAATAAAATATTTAAAATAAAAAATAAAAAAATATTTAAAATAAAAATTATATATTTAAATAAAAAATATGTTTTTTTTCAATTTTTTAATATTTGAAAAAGTACAGCACAAAAATATATGAAATATAGCACACACATTAAAATAAATAAATAAATATTTAAAATATAAAATATTTACCCTAAAAAAATAAAATTAAGAAAATTTTTAAATATTTAAAAAAAATAAATCCAAAAAATTTCAAAATACAACTTAAAACTCTTTTCAAAACTTATAAGTAAATAAATTTTCTCTTTTTAAAACTCATAATTCAAAACACGACTCCACACTCAAATAATGATTCTAAAAATAATTTAAAAAACAAAATAAAAAAATATTTTTTTGAATTTTTCTTTTAAAATAGAGTTTTGAAAAGAATTTGATTTTGAGTTTTGAAAAAAAAAAAAATTGCATTGAGTTTTGAATTGTGTGTTTGGTTATGAGTTTTATAATTAATTTTTAAATTGAATTTTGAATAATTTGAGTTGGGTGTTTAGTTATAAAAGCAAATCAAACACAGCCTAACGTTTTTTGCACCTGGACTCATATAGGGTGCAATGCAACTCGGATCAGGCCCAATTAGATATATCCGAGTTCGATCCGAATTTTTTTAAGAATTAAAATTGGACAATTTGTTTTTCAATTTGGTGTGAATTTGTGTGACAATTCAATAGTGTAAAATTTGAATTTGGATTGGGATCGGATAGATACACAAGGTAACTCATAAGCACATTGTTTGGGGTTTGCTTTCTTTATGAATTTTTTATTAAGCATTTTTTATTAAGTGACTTTTTTTTTTTTTTTTTATCTTAAAATAATTTATGCTTTTGAGTTTTACTTCTAGAAAGATAGGAAAAATTTAAAAATTTTAATTTTATTTGAATTTTTGTCCTTTTTTGTCTTTAATATTTTTATTTTTTTTTAAATTTATTTTTTTCTTTTTAAATTCGTCTTATATAAGATGAACTTCAAATAAAAAAATAATATAATTAAAAAAAATATATCACTAAATTTTTTTTTGAAAAAAAATATAATTTTTTAAACTCGATGCCAAACACTCCATTCTTGTCGTAATTCACTTCTTTCTTTGTTTTTTTTCATTTGCAGTGCATCTCTCTCGGCTCTCTATGTTTACCACTAATTTAAATAGAGTTAATATGTTATTTAGTTCAAAGTTTAATCTTTTTTTTAGTGATAATGATATGTTTAATAAAGTTATTTGGTGAGAATAAAAAATTATTTTTTGAAGATTTTTTTTTTTTTTTTTTTTTTTTTTTTTTTTTTTTTCAGTCGTACCTCTATTGTCAAACTGATGTTGAAAAAGTCATAGGCGGTGGTGACCAGCAGCGACAGGGGTGGCAGTGATGATATCTACAAATAGGTGGATTATGCGAATAGATAGATGATAAATAAACAAATAGTAGTATGACAATTGGATAGATAGATGACACATAAACAAATAGGTGGACAGTAAACAAATAGGTTATGATTGAGACCCCCTCCAATCATCACCCCCACCACCTCATACACACGTGGCTGGTGGTGATTGGAGGAGAAGGAAAAGAAAGAAAAAGAAAAAGAAACACTGACTAACATTATTGGTAAACAAATAAACATATAAATAAGGATAAAATAATCTTTCAAATTATACTTGTTCTTTTGGACCCAAAAAAATAGAATTTGGACCTATTATCCTAAAAATTTTAGAAATTGACTTCTAACCTAAGTACCCTCTAAATATATATTATGTCAACGATAATGTCTGTCTGTTAGTTTGATAAAACTTTATTTGTTAGGTTATTATAATGATTTGTCTTTTTAGACGTTACTTATGATTTTCTCTAAAACATTATTGGTAAACAAATAAACATATAAATAAGGATAAAATAATCTTTCAAATTATACTTGTTCTTTTGGACCCAAAAAAATAGAATTTGGACCTATTATCCTAAAAATTTTAGAAATTGACTTCTAACCTAAGTACCCTCTAAATATAGATTATGTCAACGATAATGTCTGTCTGTTAGTTTGATAAAACTTTATTTGTTAGGTTATTATAGTGATTTGTCTTTTTAGATGTTACTTATGATTTTCTCTAAAAATGTTGTTAGGGCCGGCCAAATTTATAAAATTAACAAGTCTAATTTAAAAAAAAAAAAAATCAGTTTTAATTTGTGGACAATTTAAACTTAACTTAGAATTTAATTTATGGAGTTCAAATCAAACTTGGAAAAAAATAAACGCAAGTTAAAAGCTTTTGAACAGCTCTTAAATTTTGGCAATCTAATCTAGTTAATGATTTTAAATGTATCTGCATAGCCTATTAGCAAAATGTAAACCCAGCAAAGGGACTTAATGGCTCAATGGATAAGGTGCTGGTCTACGGAACCGGAGATTCTGGGTTCGATACCCAGTGAAGTCGTTGTTGGCTAATTTTTTCATGTTTATTATATTTGAATTAGGTGGTGTTTGGAGGGTGGCTAAAATAATTTTTTTAAAAATTAATAAATTAGCATAAAAAGTTAACCTTATTAATCAATATTTGGAGAGTGACTAAAATTATTACAATTTCTTCATATTTTTTTTGCAAGTCTTTTTTTTTTAAAAAAAAAAAAAAAAAAAAAACCTTTCAGTCTATAAGAAAACTTTTAGGACTAAACAGTGCATAAGTTATTAATTTGGGATTTATTGGTGCATCCCCCTATATTTTATCATAAAAAAATAAAAAAAATTACTAAAGTAATCAATTTTCAAACTACACCTCAAAATATATATGATTTTGCAAAATTGCTACTAGGAGTATATGCAGTACAATTCGGATGGTTTGAGAGCAAAATTATAAATCAAATGGTAGATTGGTGGATTGACAAATCGCGATTTATGCAGTTTTGGACAGATTGGTAGATTGAAAAATATTCTAAGCAATTATCAAGTATTTGCATAATATATAACACTAATTTGAATAATATTTTTCATATATATAACATAAACTAATTTTACATAATATGTTATATATATATAACTATTAATTTGTAACAAATTTCGCATCTTAAATCTCTCTCACACTTGTTTTTACTTTGATATTTTATTAGAGGATAAAAAATATATACGTATTAATTATAGCGGAACGGAGCGGTTTCGAATGCGGATTATAAATTTTAAAATTTAATCCGCGATTAACAGATAGAGGGGTGCAAATTGATGCAAATCAGTGAGGGTTTTAACAGATTGGACGATATTTTGCAAAGTCCTAACTGCTGTGTTTCCGTTTCTAATTTAAAAGCAGCATCTATAAATTAGTGTTTCATCTAATTCAAGGCAAACCAACTAGGTTTAACTAAGGATCCGGTTGTCTCTAATCCACTTCGTGGATTGGGCAGTACTGTTTAGGCTTGTGGGATCTATCACAGGTTCAATTTCGATAATCTGAACCGTTTAATAGGTCTCATTGAGTACTTTATCCCTACAAAAATCACATTGATTGAATATCGATAGTTACTTGATCGGAACACATTTTTGTTAACAATTTATTATAAAATTATATTT